AGCCCTCGCCCGATCTCGGCGAGGCCGGCCTCGCCCAGCCCAGGCGAGGGCGGCCTCGCCTGAGGCCGGCGACCTCCGCCGGCCCCGGCTATGGCCGGCGGAGGAAGAAAAGAAAAAAAAAAGAAAAGGAAAAGAAAAAAAAAAGAAAAAACAGAAAAGAAAAATTATGAACCGGCCCGGAACCGGTTCAACCGACGGTTCCGAACCCGAACCGGAACGGAACCGTCGGCCTCGGTTCATACTTGGCCACGAACCGGAACCGCCGGTTCAGAACCGGAACTGGTCGGTTCCGAACCGTGGCTATGACTATTTTTCTCTATGTTTTTTGATGGGTTGGGTTGAGTAGGGGTGATCGATGTCAGAGTAGTTCGATTCCAGACGTGGAATCTGAAACCGACCCTATTATAACTAATTCCTAGTTTTTGAAACCTAGAACTTATCCTGTTTACCTTGGACCCTGTTTTGAAACCTACTCTGTTTTTTCAGTCTGGTTCTAAGGTCTACCCGAGAACCTATTTTTTTTTTGTTCATTTTTCTGGTTTCATTTTTTCCATGTAGCAAATAGGAAATCAAAGGTTATAAGTTTGATTGTGCAAACAATCTTAAGTATTCATACAAAAGCATATTATCTAAGTCCTAATAATTTAATGGACGTGATAAAACAGTATAATTTTCAATTAGATATGTAGTTTCTTCGTTACAGAACAAAAATTTTACGAAAAAAAAAATTGCTTCCTATAATGCTTAAAAGCCCTTGAATTATACTATCTGTAAATAATGATCATCTCCTTCATCTTTCCTGATATAATACTTTAAATTCTGGCCATATAAAATTGCAAATGAACCTTCATATAAAACCGGTCCGGTTCCCGGGTGGATTTTCACTTGGAATATGAAATCGGACCGGTTCTAACCGGTTCCCTGACCTATTTTTCAGGTGGGCCAATCTAGTTTCCGGGTAAACCCGGTCCAGTTGTACACCCCTAGGGTTGGGTATGGGTCATTTAAACTATTTAGGAAACAAATGGATCAATACGAATTAAATGGGCCGAACACATTTACGACTCACCCAAAACCCGACCCGACCCGACCTAAGGAAAATGAATGGGTCAAAGAAAATAATTTCCGTCTACAAGAAAAAGTCCTCTAAAATTGGGGAAAATGATTTCCGCCTCTCAGAAAGCAGAGATTATTTTCCTCGCTCTCGTCTTTATCTCACACACTACGCAGCCCAAGGCCCCAAGCTCATTTTCTCGTCGTATCGTAGGCGTGGGAGTACCCGGGCTTTTGTGCATGGTTGGACTCATCTTCAATGAAGTAAGGGCTCGTGGTCCAACTTAATTGGTCCACAAAATGCGACGGTTTCCGTGGGCCTTGATGGGCCCACAATAGATTCCCCACCCGATGACCCGGCTCGGCGAAAGCGGCTGTTTGCCCTAGCCCAACGACACCACTTTGTCCTATATGTTTGCACGAGTACGGGCCCGAGAGACGTCGAGATCCATTCCCGATTGTAACCACTACTTTCCTGTGAACTGCAATACTGCATAGACAAGTGGCTCCACTGAATGCCACGCTCCCCTGTGTGCCGGAAGTCACCGAGCGACTCCTAATTCACATGGAGCACTTGCCCGCGTGCGGTCCATGACGGCCGATGGCATGACGCGTTGCAATGAAATCGACACGGGCTTTATGTTCCCAACTGGTATGTTCATCTCATGTGGGTTCAGTCGTCGTTGAATTCTCTGTGTATTCTGATGTAGGTGGTGTGGTGTTCAATCGCAGTAGTGATTACGTTTTAAGTCTTCTTTTTCGCATAAATTGCATTTTGATTGAGAAATAAGAACCTGATGTCGGCATTCCCCAAAAGCATGGTGTGAAATCGGCATTAATTTTCGCAAACATAGGAATCGTGTTAGTGCCCTTGTGTCATAGAATAGTACAAATGTTGCTGTCGTTGCTGTTGGTTGTGTTGTTGTTTCTAAAAAATTTTTTGTCGCTTATTAAATTATCAGTTGATGTCAATTTTCTTCTATTAAGTTTTCAAATCTGTCAACGGCAGATGTATCAAAGGGCAAAATTTAGGTTTCAAAGGTGCAATAAAAAATATACCTTTTACTTAAAAAATATATTCATTGTGCATAAACATAAAAAAAAAAAAAAAACTCAATGGAGTTTCAGCAATCGCGGTAATTTCTAGTGTGCTGGGATTGAAAGTTTGGAGATGAATACCTATAGTAGAGGGAGATGTCCGTTAATTTCCTCCCAATAATGCTAAAGTATACAATAGAGGTCATGTTAGCAAACATTATGGGGTACTTGCTAAGTATATTTAATTTGAAATAATACAATTTACAAAAATACTGACTACACGTTGTACCAGAACTTTATAAAATATGTAGAAGACCCATTGTTGAAATATTCAGTTTCGGGTGCCAATGAAGTACCCAATTGGCTCGAGTGAGCCGTCATCGTAGCCCCCTCCATGATGCGAGTTGTAAGTCCAAGACCTATTACTTACCTAAACCCAGACTTGTCCTTCACAACCTGTTTCGCCGGAAAGTGTCGACAAAGCACATTTTGAAATGCAGATGATATACAAAAAAAAATGCGGATGATATTGAATTTGACAAAGGATGTGAATGGTCCTATTTTGATTCTTTGACAAGAAACTCCAATTGAAGAGAAAATTAAAGGTACGAATACTGGAGATAAATGTGGCCAACCATGTAAAAGGGGGGATGATAAGATTGAACAACTGTTGCTCTGTTGATTGATCGGCGGTCCTTTGCTCGAATTATAATCTTAATATTTGTAACTACTAGCGATAATTAACAACAGTTATAAAGAAAACAAATAACATCATATGTGACTTCTAACAAACGGCTGCAACCATGATTATCGATTCCACTACTCAAGGTCATCGACTCAATTACTCGATGGTTACTAACTCCACTACTACTCGATGATTATCGACTCCACTACCTTGATAGTTATCTCTTTGATGGTTACATATGAGATTGTTGACTCTATTACTTGATGGTTATGTCGCTTCCACTTCCTCGACAGTTACATGTTTGTTGATTGCATATGAGAATGTTAACTGAACACTTGGACATTTTTTAGCGTCACCATATGCCCCGATTAAAAAGAATAGAATGATTAATCAATCATTCGATTTTTTAAAATTTGATAATTAAGGGTCATCATATGCTCCCTTATCATCGGCATATTTGATTTATCCTTACTGAAGTTTTATCTTGGTCAGAGTTATCTTCTAAGTCATATCTTTCTATTGAAGTCACATTTGATACGAAGTTTTCATGTGGCTCTTTATCTCTTTCTTTAAGCAATTGCTCATACTTAGACATTCTCGTTGCCAATTGAGTAAATCAGCAAAGTCTCAACCTTCAAATCTTTTTCTTGAATTAAATTTCAAGCCATTAAAGGCCATATTTGTAAATTCTTTTCCAGAGAGTGAAGTGAGACAAATAATCTTAGGGTGCGCATGGCAACGATTCTGTGCCCGGGAACTGATTCTGCTCATAAATGATTTTTTTTTATTCTGTATCCGGGAACAATTTCTAAGCATTTAAAGGCGTTTGGTAACTGTCCAAAATTTCTATTCCTAGAATAGAAAAAGAACAAAAATGCGTTTGGTAACTACACAAAATTTCTTTTCATTAATAATATTTTAATAATATTTTAAATATTTTAATATTTCTTTCTTTTTTTTTTCCTTCACTTCCTTGGCCATGGCCGATTGCCGGCGCCGGCGACCGGCCACAGTCCAGGGCCAGCGAGGGCATCGCAGCCCTTGCCATGGCTGGGCAAGGCCTCGCCGTCGCGACCACGACGCCCTCGCCGGTGGCCGGCGGCAGATCGGGAAGAAGAAGAAGAACAAACCAAAAAGGAAGAAGAAAAAAAAGAAGAATAAAAAATGAAAAAATTGTTCCAGAATCAAGAAGTTTTTTTTTTTTTTGCTTCTTGATTTTGTTCCAAAACTGATTCTGGGAATAATTTTTTGCAAATTTGTGCCCGGGCACAAAAATTTTAACAAACGGATTTCCGTTCCCAAACTAATTTCGAAAGCAAAAGAACAGAAATTTTCACTATTTGGCAACTTGCCAAATGCCCCCTTAGCCTTCTTAAACCAAGCAGTAAACTAGTCAACCGTCTCATTGCTATGTTAATAAATTCTAGCCAGGTCGGCAATTGATACTTCGGGTATTGTTCTATAAAATTGAGAATGTAATTGTCTTTCCATCCTTGCCCAATTACACATTGAATTAGATGGTAAATTAGTAAACCAAGTAAAAGCAGTTTTCGACAAAGACAAATGAAATAATCCAAGTCTTAAAAAATTCATTTGTTCCTATTTCTCCACATTGGGCCATAAAATTGATTAATATTTCAATGGTCAATAACCTGTGTTCATTGATTGATTGGTCCTTTATTCGAAGTATAATCCTAATATTCATAACTACTAATGACGGTTAACAATAATTATGAAGAAAGAAAATTATATCCGTGTGACTCCTAAACAAATGGCTACAACCATGATTATCGACTCCAGTACTCGATGGTTACCGACTCCATTGCCTTAGTGGTTGTATCCGGGATTGTTGTCTCCACTGCTTGACTTATGTTGCGACCACTTTCTTGATTGTTATCTCTTTTTCAGTTGAATCTGAAAATGTTATTTTTCAGCGTCCACACAAACTAACCAAGATTTTTTGAGATTGAGAATAGATTGGGAAATCGAACTTGCAATCTTCGATCGGTGAACCAAGTCTCGATTCATTCGACCAATCACCGATATGATATAAAATCTGCAGAGCTCATTTTTATGATTGGAGCCACCGCGTCAAACAATCTCTTATTTCATAAGCCAATTTCACCACCCGAACCATTTACTGATAAGTGATACCATTACTCATTGAAAGTATGTGCTGCCACACCAACCGCGACGAAGATCGAATAATAGAAAATATGAAGGGTGTCACCACCCCATTTGTCGTCTCTTCTTAAGTCTCGCATCCTCCCGCCGTCTCATAAGAGACGAATCGACTTCGTCGTGCGTCCCACCACCACCACAACGATGCCACCTTCGCCTCAGCCCAACCTCACGATCGCCTCCTTCCTCGCTCTCCTCGCCCACCTCCTCCTCCGCCTCCCCCAGACCCCAGCCGCCGCCGTCCAAGACTGCGGCATCGCCACCTGCCCCGGCGCCTCCGCCGCCGACCAGTTTCTGCCGCCCCCGTCGGTCCAATTCCCCTTCCGGCTCCACCGCCAGCAGCGCCCCCGCTGCGGCTACCCGGGCTTCGACCTCTCCTGCGCCCCTGGCGGCGACCCCCTCCTCCGCCTCCCCGGCTCTGGCGAATTCTCCGTCCAGTCCATCACCTACTACCCGACCCAGAGCATCACCCTCGCCGACCCGGACGGCTGCCTCCCGGGGCGCCTCCTCGGCAACTTCTCCCTCAGGGGGTCCGCCTTCCGGGCCCTGGTCCCGCGGAAGTTCACCTTCCTGAACTGCTCCGACAGCGCCGACTGGTCTCAGGGGATGCGCGCCATGCCGGTCCCGTGCCTCAGCGGGAGGAACTACACGGTCATGTCGGTGCCGGCCGTCTTCTACGACCGGGGCTCGTACCCCTGCGAGGAGGTGGCGACGGTGACGGTGCCGCTGCCGGGGCCGTTCTGGTCGGACGTCGAGGACGTCATAAGCTTGACGTGGGGCGTCCCGGACTGCGCGTCGTGCCGGAGACGAGGAGGGCGGTGCGGCTACACGGGCGTGAACGGGACGGAGGTTGGCTGCAGCGGTGTCCCGAGAACCGGTAGGTGGTTCTGTTCCTCGTTTGACTCCTCTCGTATTCTTGCGCTTGCTTGTTCGTTTGTTTTTACGAACCGAAGGTTAGGGTGGGCCAAAACTTTGACCTACCCTCGATTGTTTTTTGTTTGAATCACGACAATTCTCCACTAGGAACGCGAAAATAGCAACGTAACTTTGAAATATTCTCTAAAATGACATGAAATGACACAACGTTAATCTTCGGGATTAAGTATTGTACAGTCAATTTGCAAAATTGATTCGCTAAAGCGGGATGCCTGACTTTTTATGGAATGTTCAACATGCTTATTCTTTTTAAAGCTCGCTTGCGATTTAAGTGCCCCTTTTTGTATATCAATACTTTCTTTATTGTTTCCTAGTAGCAAGATGTCTAGACTACGTGAGCAATCATCGTTCATCTATCGATACGTTGGTTGAACTAAAAGTTTCATGACGAAGGAAAAATGATTTTCTTCTTATCAGAAAAGGAAGTCGTTTTCCTCCACTCTATGCTTGATGATTTTAGTCATGGAAAACGTTTTCCGCAATTCGATCAGATTTTTATCATTCAAATATTAGAAAGTCGAAAAATAATTTTTCGAAAACAATCTTCCTTCAAATAAACGTACCTTCTCTTAATACTACAGTTTCTTGCTACGTGCATATGACGTGTAATGCTCGAGAACACAATTCAGTGCTCCAAATGACCCTAATAGGACATCAAGTAAAATGATTGGAAGACAAAATCTTACATGAAAGTCATATTCGTCGCGCTCCCGATGAGCTCGATACGATATTAAATAAGGTGATTAACATAGGACGTTGAGTCGAGCGATTGAGAGAATCGATTGCTCGACTTGAACAGAAACTTGGAGGAGGACTAGTGGACGAATCAGAAAGTCTAGGAACAGTCCGTTTGAGGCAGGGTGCTGGTACAAAATCAAAATCAAACTTAACCTACCTATTTCTTTATTGGTTTTCCGTCGTTAGGAGGGAATCAACGTTTTAATAAAAGTCAGAATAAGTGTACTGAAAAAGACCCTCTTTTTTTTTTTTAATAATGGTTTGGCCGGCCCTCAAATCGCTTTCATCTTTTAATTTTCAAAGAAAAAAAGATGAGAGAAAAGAAAAAGGGAACTTTGGTAATTTTCGATAAATCCTATGTGCGCGATGGGGCAACGTAGCGTACTTTATTGCCTAAATGGGGTCCTCACGTGACCCCACTTTTTAGCGACAGATCATCACACACGTTATGTCATCATTACCACGGCTTTGTTCTTCGTGGAAGCCAAAAAGGTTTGGCTTCTTTATGAATTCATTCTCTTAATCTTTTCCTGCTAGATGAATAACAGTAGTTCAATTGAAGTTCGTTTGGAAAAATAAATTCATTTTCATGCCCCAAATCGTTGTGATCTGAGATGGGGTTTAGACATGTCCATTATTTTGGCTCCATCCATATATAATGTGATCTTTAAATTTTTAGTGTGTTTAATGTGATCTCTAAATTTTAGCTTACTGTTTTATATCGTGATCATTTTAGTTGTTGGACTATATGAAAATGTTCAATATTATTCCTGAACTTGAATTAATAAAAAGGTAATATAGAACATTTTCATATAATTTAATGACTAAATTGAAAATGTATCATAAATTCAGAGATTACATTGAACAAATTAAAAATTTAGAGATCACATTGCATGTTAAGGTAAAGTTCATATATCACATTAAATAAATTAAAAATTTAAAGATTATATTATATATTAAGTCAAAATTTATAAATTATTTACGTCTTTATCCCTTTACGAATTGATGCGACAATGGTTAGGTGGGGAAATGCACCTCGACTGTTTGTGGGTCTGAGTCAATGGTCAACCTCTGCAATTACGGGAAAACTTTCTGCAAATTGATGCGACAATCTCTGGTTAGGTGGCGATTGCACCTCGACTGTTTGTGGGTCTGAGTCAATGGTCAACCTCTGCAATTACAGGAAAACTTTCTGCAAATCAATCTTAATTTCCCAACATTATTCTTTGAATGCATGTGTCTACGCAAATATTGTGAGTGTGAAAGATGTAAATAGTGCCGTAGATGCTCCGGCAAAGTGGGAGAACATGTCCTCCTGTGTCCAAAGGTTTGATGCACTAAGAATAAATCATGTTCTAGACTCGGATTCTGTAAATTTTTTTTCCCTTTGAATCATTCTTTGCAGGTTTACCAAGAACTGCCAAATATGGCGTCATCCTAGGAGTGGGAGTACCTGGGCTCCTGTGCGTAATTGGGCTCGCGTCTTTCATCTACGGTAAGATCAAGGCCCGCGGTAGGCCCACACGGCCCGATGTGCCCGACGTGTCCAACTTAATTGCCTCGCGAAGCGCGGCTATTTCGATGGGCCTAGACGGGCCCACGATAGAGTCGTACCCGAAGACCCAACTCGGCGAGAGCCGTCGCTTGCCCAAGCCCAACGACACCACGTGCCCGATCTGCCTGTGCGAGTACCAGCCCAAGGAGATGCTGCGATCCATACCCGATTGCAATCACTACTTCCACGTCGAGTGCATCGATGAGTGGCTCCGGCTAAACGCCACGTGTCCCTTGTGTAGGAACTCGCCCGAAGATCCGGGCTAATATCTTCCGGACTTCTTGATAGACCGGATATGTCATTGTTTTCGGAACAACAAGATCTATATGGGATTCCGCTCTAGAATGCAACAAGATCAATACGTTACCGCATTTATCACGTTTTGTCTTCGTCTTTATTGTTTGTACCATCAAAGATCATTAACTTTGTAATTTTGTATTCAACACCATATTGTAAATACTTTACATTCTTTCGTGATAGAAGAAATTCGAGTGACAAACAAGAATGGCGTTGTCTGAATTTGCCAGCTCTATGTGGAAAGGACAATGGTTTTCGATTTTGGCATCTTTTGGATCGTCTCATTTTATGTGGAAAAAGACTTTGAGAGATACATTGTTGATCCAAACAAACAAATGGTTGAAGGTCTTTGAACAATTTCTCATACTTTTCTCACCAATGATCTTGGTTACATTGTTAAAAGCTCCATGTCTTGATATTAACATTGGTCGGGGACATAAATTAAGAAAAACAAATGGGCTGCATCTTCCCTTCACTACAAACTCCTAATCAAATCATACAAAAGATGATCAGCAACGTGTGTATCCTCTTCTCTTTCTCCTCCTCCTTCCTCCTCCATCTCGGATCGCCTATTCCCGACACATGCCCCGATGTATCTTGCCAACCGGGCGAACCGGTCGTCCACTTCCCGTTCCGTCTCGAGCAACTCCAACCCAACAAGCGCGGCGTGTACCCGAAGTTTGACCTGTTGTGCAACGGATTGGGACAGATGGTCATAAACGTCCCCCCATCAGGCGAATTCATAGTAGCCTCGATATTGTATCCCCAACAACTCATATTCCTAAGAGACCCCGATAATTGCCTCCCTAGACGGTTTCAAAGTCTCTCCCTTTTGGGTCCCCAATGGACGGTCCAATCCTATAAGAACTTCACTTTCATTGAATGTCGCTAGATTTGTCTATCTTTCCCGAACTCAACCTCGTCCCGTGCCTAAGCGATCGGAATCATACCATCGTGGCTATACCCACGGAGGACTTCGAGCACACGACGAGCCTGGCAATGTCCAGGTGCGACAACTGGGAACCTGAACTTGAACCTGAGCCTGAAGGTAAAATCCACAAATCTTTGAAATTCTTTGTTAGAAATCCCTCTTCTAATCTTTTTCTTTGAACATCACTTGACTGACAATACTCAGGAAAATTGTCAAAAAAAACTCCTAAACCTATTGTATTGAGGTCAATTCAGTATTAAATTCGTCAATCGTCAAAAGATTTAGGACTAAATTGGAACATTTGAAAGGATTAGAACCGAATTGACTGCTGAACAATAGGTTTATGACTTTTTGAACAATTATCCCAATGACAATCGGATATAGATTTGTCCTAGTTTTTAGGTCTATGCAAATTTGATTTCAAAATGAACAATTATGACATGTAAAGATGGATGCTGGGCAGTTCAAAGTGCTAGGCAACTTCCCCTGGAGATTGGAGACAGAAATTTTTCTTTTGAATCTGAAGTGATCAGTGAGGAATAATAGAGGAATTATGCTGCTTAAAACAACCATAGTACATTAAAATATAATAAGACATTGAGATTGAGAGACAGAGAGAGATGCTTTTCTAAGATGATACCAATGAAATCATTATCCTAGGGATGATGCAGTGCATAAGATGCGGCCAAGCTTTCGGTTTAGGTCATCCTTGAATGATCATGCAAACCTAAGTCCAAAGTTTACTTTAGACCTTACGCGGTTCTCGTAGTGGGATTTGAATAAATAATGATTCGAGCAAAGCCTCAGATGAAAATTGCTTCTGAACAAAAAAAAAGAAAAAGAAAATTGCTAAAATCAATCTAAATACAAGAAAGGCATGCAAATTGCTGGATATTAAAGGAAACTAAAGGATACTTGATAGTGTTGAAATCAAAGGAAATTGACCCAAAAAGCACAAAATTACAGGGAAATCAAATCGTAGACACTGTAAAGGGAATCATTCGAAAGTAAACTTCATTGGAATTAAAACCAAAGGAAAGCGAATATCACTTGATGTTCACATGAAAATATTGAAATGAATACTGATGTTTACAACGTATGTTTTGAATTCCAAGCTCAATTCCAAAACTAAAACCAAAATCAAAAGACATTGTTTCAACAAGAAATACTTTAGAAGAAAATTTGGAGAGTTTTGACATAACTTGAGCACACGTTAGGCAAATAAGGGGTCTGAGGATACCATGAAAGATTTTGTGAAATTACTGCCAACTGTTTTAAAAGTTTAAGTTGTTAGACGAATGTCACATTTTTTATTCAAATATTCTAACAATATTTTCATTTAAATTTGTCTTATTAATATTTGAGCCATGATTTTATACTACCAACAGTATCACATGTTTGGAAAAACAAAAGAACTGAACTCTTCCCATCTTCACCGTTTTAAATGACCTATCAGTTCGGAGCCACCAACCTATTCTTATTTGCTTCTTTAATAATGCCGATGATGGTGCAACAAAATCATTCGCTTGTCCTGACACGAAAGTCCAAATTCTTGCGATTTACACATCATCTTGTGCAAATATATTCCATCCAAATTCGCTTACTACATCGTTTGCATCTCCATGTCATCAATGATATCGAATGGGAGGGGACATAACCTAAGGTAAATTTATACTTATCATAAGGCATCCATTTCCTCCTTCACTTGGACCAGCACTTGTTTCGGGCACACCAAATGGCTAGTAACATGCTAATCCTCTTCCTCTTTTCCACCTTCCCCTTCTTCCTCCTCGCTCATCTCGTCTCACCCCTCTACGATACGTGCTCCTACAGTTCTTGTGGATATGGCGAGCCGGGGATCAAGTTCCCGTTCCGTTTGAAGCAATTCCAACCGGATGAACGTTGCGTGTACCCCGGGTTCGACATCTCGTGTGACGCTCAAAATCGAACGACTCTATATCTTCCGACTTCGGGGGAGTTCATTGTGGATTACATAGATTACTATGACCAAGTCTTTTGGCTTAAAGACCCTGATGATTGTCTCCCCAAGAGGCTGCAAAATTTCACTACTTCGGGTTCCAATTGGAATGCTCAACACTACACAAGCTTTGCACTCTTCAAATGTCCATATGGGCTGTGGGATGCTCCCAAGCTCACATGCGTGGCTTGTTTGGACGGCCTCGAGTACTATGTTGTAGCCGTGGCGACGGACGAATTGGCGCAAGATATGGACACCTTGTCGGAGCTCCGGTGCGGTGATAACTGGACCGTTCAGATCCCGACCATAGATAACATGGATCCATCGCCTTACAATACGATCGAGGACACAAAAAGATTTGGTCTGACGTGGGCGGAGCCTTCTTGTAAATCGTGCGAAGCACACGGAGGTACCTGCTGGTTCAAGGGGAAGAAGGGTTTGGAGACTGAATGCACTAGCCCGAATAGCGAGGGTATGCGCCCTTTTCTTTCAACAAAATGTTTGGTTAATGATTAGAAATCCTTTTCTTGACTGGATAGAAATATTCCGTTAATAATCAGAAGTTCTTTTCTCAGTTGGATAGAAGGTAGGATAGATGTTAATAATAGCTATATCAATTTTTACAATATGAATTATCTGAACTTTGAACTATGCTTCTTGTCATAAATATGTATAAATTGTCATTTCACAGGGAAGACTCCTTGAAAAAGGAAGCCGGTTTGACCCCGGTGTTAATCTAAGCAGATGATAACATTAGATGATAAATCTCTATATACATACATACCTCTTTTTAAAAATTATCTCTCTTTTCATAGCAAGCCAGAAGGGTAAAAATGACAGTCTGTGGATCTTTATGGGCATCACCATCAGCATACCAGGTATCTTGTTCATCACAAGGTTGTTGTGCTACATAAGCTGCAAATACTGCATAGGACGCCAGGTTCAACAAGACCAAACCAATCCATCGTCTCCGACTGGCCGAGCTCAAGCCCTTGAGGCTGTCTTTGGTATGGACACGCCTGCAATTGAATTGTGCCCGACGACTCAGATTGGCAACGGCAGAGCATCGATGCCTCGGGACAACACTTGCTCGATATGCTTGTCGGAGTACAGACCGAAGGAGACGGTGCGGACGATTCCGGAGTGCAAGCACAGCTTCCATGCTCATTGCATTGACCCGTGGCTCAGGAGGAATGGTAGTTGCCCATTGTGCAGGAATCACCCAGGGTATGTGACCATATCTTCTCTCTATGACTGTATTGTTACTAATTGCATTTCATCATGCAAGCGTTAGGAGGAACGTATTTGGCACGATCTCATTTGGAGTAGAAAATGATATGGTTAAAGTTTGACCGAATTTTCAGTTCACCAAGCAAAATATATTACATAGAATTTTGGTTTGATTCAATGTCTACTTAGGTCTAGGTATTTTAGGAGGTATTCGATGAATTTTGTTAGTTTTTGGAGGTTTAATATCATGATGGAAAGATTATCGTTTCAACGTGTTTTTTTTTTCCATGCTCTTCAATGTTCAAATTACGAATGAGATCAATTTCTTCTTCATAGCAATTTTAAATGCATTTATAATTAAAAGACTAGTTTCTTAAATGACTAGTTCCAACGTGATTTTAGAGGGCTAATTTTTTCTCTAGTCCTAACCCATTTTTGTTGGTTTGCTTAGGTCTACCCAGTCCACGGTCCCAAATTGAGGGGCGCTCTCGATTCATACCTAATTGGATGCGCAACCGTCTGTTATCGTTCGAATACACATCTGACACTAGAGTTCAGGTTCATGTTTAGAGCAGCACCTGCAGTGACATTCTACGGGGACCAAACCGCGCGACAGATCGAGAAGTTTCACGCTTTGTAGAGCTGCAATGAGGCACTTGCTTCTGCCCTTACAGAACTCTTTCCATCCTTGTTATTGAATAGATTTTGACAGGAGTCTCTTTGTTATTGCGACTCGCATAGCTGGTTGTTGGACTTACGTTAGAGACGGATTCGGCTTTCGAGTTGTGCAGACAATTGGGGCAAGTTATTCCTTAGTTGCTTCGTTGGTGTTGGAGTTGGCGAATACTTCGGGGACCCTTGTTTCTCACACCGGGTACGCCCACGTGAGCTTAGGGAAACTGAAGTGTTGTCCGACGACATGTGACCTATGCGTGCGGAATGCGGGGGTTTGGGGGCAGCGCCCCCGACACGGGTGCCCCGTTGCCCGATCAGCGGGCGGGGGTTCGGGGGCAGCGCCCCCTGCCCCCGACGGGGGTTCGGGGGCAGCGCCCCCCGAAACCTCAACGGGTTTGGGCTGGCCTGTATAGTGCAAGATTAAGAGATTTCATATCGGTTTAGGTTTTGGGCCCGTTTGGGGCATATATATATTTTGCTCGTTTTTCTGATCATTGTAACGAGTTGAGTGGCTGTAAACCGAAAACATACTGAAATCTCTTTGCAGGACGTAGCCCTAATCGAGGGTGAACCTGGGTAAATTTGTACATCATCTATTTTTCTCTGATTTTCTGCGTGATTGTTCTGTTTCGGTTCTCGATACGTCCCTTCAGTTGGGTCCTTCTTTGGAGGTTTTGTAGGGATTGCAACAAGTGAGTGACCATTTAATGAGACAAGTCCCTGTGTACATTGTAGTTTGAAACAATCATAGAAGATTGCACATTTCAATTTGATGCTCTGTCAATCTTTCCATAGCTAGATTGGTCAGTCTTGACAATATTTGGGCTGCGTTTGTTTCGGGGAAAATAAATTATTTAAAAAATAATTTTCTAAAATTAATCGCTTGCATCGCTCACAAAAATGAACGAATAAAAAAAAAATTCATCTTCCACGAAAATATTTGGACATAAATTGCTGTCGATAAAGAAACATTTTTTATGAACTAATTATTTTAAGCGATAGATTATTTTTAAGAAAATATTATCCAAATTATTTATTTTTCGCGGAACAAGCAGAGTTTTACTAAAAAAATTTAATGCAAGCGTTGGTTCCAAAACTGATGCTACAAACAATGATTAATACAAAAGTTATTATTCCATTTGAAATACATTATAAGTTCTTATTAGATACAACGACTAACTAGATCAATATATAATTATTCATTATATTAAATTGATATATATCAAACTAAAATATGTAAATTGACAACTAAGGAAGTAATCGTTCCTTTTGGGGTGTAACCCAACCACATCCATCGTGCAATCCAGAACCTCCACCATCATTATTGTTGACACTTATTTTCTTAATTTGCCCGCCCAAAAAGGTCGGTCGCGACAATTATTTACCAAATTTATCGAATGAGTTTATCGATTTTTCCATCTTGATTGAAATCACTAACTAGAACTTTGTAAATCGTAACTGATGTACCTTAATCCTCCAGCCCAAATAAACTTAATTTGATAGTTCCGAAGCATCGTTTTCGGATAACCAATCTAGGGTCTAGCGAGGTTGGGTCTTTATATTAACAGATTTATAAATGGGTTTCTTTTGGATACAGTAACGAGATAATGACTTGTATATAATATGATCTGTTGATATAGTTTACATCAAAATATAGCATGACATGCTTATTAAATATCGGTTACGTACGCATTGACATCAATTAGGAGTTGTCTTCGCTCTATTGGCATGACGTCATACCACCTCCAAACAAATCACCGCTATTATTAAGGATCGATTATCGCCGTGCACAAGTAGTCAACAATCAATCATCACGTTGGCTAGGATGTCTTTTTTGCACGTTGTTGAATAACGAAAAAAAAAATTTCGTTTTTTACCTTGGCAACTACGAAAATTATCTAATGAATGGCTTCTCAGATGCAAAATCGTAATTTGCGCGGTCGCTTCCTAATGATGCTTTAAGTACCTTGTCGACAATAGGCTTAGAGATCATCGAGGTAGCTGTCTGAGTTGGTTGAATCTTAATCTCATGTGGTACACTTTTTCTTTGGTGAAGGCCAAATCCTCCATTCCTCCCTTGATCTTACGAAATTTAGTCATTATTCATAATTAAAACTTCGGCTTAAAATCTCTCATGTATTTCATAAAAATTAGAGGTGGGATTCGTTCGTAATGATTTAGTTTAACGTTGGTCATCCAATCCCATTCTTACTTATAAAAAGAAAAGAAAAGATGACTTCGGCACGAATAATGTTTGTCATGCAGTCGATGATCGTATCTTTTCTCTTCTCAATTCCCAGCTGCTCGGAATCTATTTTTTTAATAATACCAATGATGGTACTTGAACATCATCTGCTTCTTTTGATCGAAACATCCAAGGCATGCACTTCCAAGATATCTTGTCGGAAATGCCGCCCACCCAACTTCTCTTACATCGTTAAACTCTCCGTGTCATTAATAAACTAAGAAACGTGGCTATATAGGCCTCCAAGTCTTTGTTCACTAGGTAGGATTAGGGCTATGGTCCCATGCACAACCAAATGGCTTATAACTTGTCGATCCCCTTCTTCTTTTCCACCTCCTCCTCCTTCTTCTTTCTCCTTCATCTTGTCTCGCCCCTCCCCAGTATGTGCTACCCCGAGTCTTGCGGCGCCAACGAGCCGGATATCCGATTCCCATTTGGTCTGAAACAATTCCAACCGGATGAACGTTGCGTGTACCCCTGGTTCGATCTCTCGTGCAACGGCCAAAACCGAACAACTCTAAGTATCCCGCTCTCTGGGGAATTCACCGTGGTTTACATAGATTATGCGCAACGAGCTATATTGATTCAAGACCCGGACGATTGCCTCCCCAACCGGCTCCCCAATTTCACTCCTTCGAGTTCTAATTGGTTAGTGCAACAATATACCAAATTCACATTCTTCAAATGCCCAATGGAGTCACAAGCCAACGATACGTTCCCGCGCATGCCTTGTTTAGACGGCCAAAACTACTACGTTGTGGTCGTCCCGACGGACAACTTGTCGAGCCATAGTAGTTTGCTGCCGTCGGAGTTGCAGTGCAATTATAGCCATGATATATCGATTCCGACCATGGATAACGATTTTATGTGGAACGGGAAGTTGTCTATTGGCTTGACGTGGAACGAGCCTTTCAATTGTAGTGACTGCGCAACACGTGGAGAGACGTGTGGATTCAAGGGGAAGAAGGGTTTGGAGACTGGATGCATCGTCTGGCAGCCTAATACGGGTATGCACCATTGTTATTGCTTGATTATAAGATGTTTGGTAATACAACGTCTTCTTGTTTCAATATATTGTCTTCCAAAATTATTCATAATAATCGTATCTTTTCTTAGGGGATAAGATGATCTATTTGAACTTTTCACTCGATTAATCCTTGTAAATGTATACAAATCGCCTGTGAATGCGTAACCAACAAGACTATCTAGACTTCGCATATAATTTCTCTAGGGGGTGGCAACGGGCTTTTTCAAGTTGATCACTGGACACTAAATCTATACATACAGTCAATTATACTTTTAGTTAGCTCTTCTTTTTGTTATTTTTGACTTGTCTCTTTGGGTGTAGAGAGTCCGAAGCGTGATACCACTAGTCAATGGATCATCCTGGAGATTTTCGCAACATGTTTCATGTTCACCGCAAGCATGGTGATAGCCCACAAATTGCGAGCCCGATGCCTGGCTCAACGAGACCGAACCAATCCATCTTCTCTGCCTAGCCAAGCTCTAGCCCTTGCCGTTATATCAGGTTTGGACACGCCTACGATCGAGTCATACCCTACGACTTGTGTCGGCGATGTGGAAGGATCGATGCCTCAGGACAACAGTTGCTCGATATGCTTGTTGGAGTACAAATCAAAGGAGGTGTTGCGCACATTACCGGAATGCAAGCACAGCTTCCATGTCCATTGCATCGATCCATGGCTGAAGAGGAAAGCCAGTTGCCCTGTCTGTAGGAATCACCAAGGGTATGTAATGTTGCCTTACATGTCTCTTATCCTGTGGCCATACCTTCTTCTGTACGATTTTTTTGTGGGGACCATACGGCCGGGGTGTTGCCCTATTTCTCCTCCAGGTGGCCGGTTAATTAAGATCGTAAAAAAATTTATATGTGGAGCAATAAAGATACTTCAATATTTGGATTTTGTTGGGAATGTTGTTGCAAATTGATTAGATAGAAAAATTAACTTGCGCATCTGCCTTGAATAGATATTTGTAAACTAAATAATTAATGTATAACAAAAAAAACTAAATAATTGATGATATTTACAAAAAGAAAAAGATTGAGATCCCTTAAATAGGAAGTGCTCTTTACTTTATATAATAGTATAGATATGCACTATTTTGGACCACCAATGACAATTCTAGTATTGGTAGTAATTTTGAATGCTTTCTTTCATATGGATGTAAATCCAATAAAGGTAATACTTATATAATTATTAACATGTTAAAAAAATAGGCAAGCATGGAAGACTAAAATCATTGAAACTTGCTTATTTAGTTTCTTAAATCGAGAGAAAAAGTTGAAAGCAATTTAGTAGCACCATCAGCCTTGTGATCCAGCCACGTCTATCTTGCAATCCAGAATCTGCACTATGATCAGTTACCTAGGTAATCAAATGATTTTAGGGAAGTGAAACAATTAATTTTTGATAAATGGCTTGTTACAGTAATAAATTTAAGCAAAAGAGGACACATTTTGCTTGTAAAAAGAAGAATTAAAATAATGTTTAAAAGCTCAGTTCATTTAAGATAACAAATTCAATAGTTTTGGATATAAAGATTTAACTTACCAAAGAAGATAAAAAAAAATTAAAAAATATCCATTTTGAATACAGAAATTGTTAGAGATTTAAGGAATGATGATAGAGTTTAGAGTTATGAGATTGAAATCATAATTTGGGATTTGCTTTATTATTTATAGAAATTGTTCCTCGAAGTCCCTAATTTACTTTTGTTGGTTGCCTAGGTCTGCCAAGTCAACGGTCTCAACTCAAGGTGAAGATACTTCATATGCTGATGATACCATCGGAAATCAACATGTGACGCAACAAGTCGATTAAGACCGAGTGATTTAAAAATTTAAAAACCATGTGGGATGATAAATATATCGCACGAGAAATGTGGTTGGTTGGTCTTACACGTCAGCCGTGTGAAAATACTATTCTCAACTTGAGGGGCACTTGGGACTCATCTATGGCATTGGTTTAGAAATAAACGTAAGCGAGTTTGTTTACCCTACAGTGTTATTGTACACGTATTTTTCTCTTGTTTTTTTGGCAATTAGTGCAATTGGGGAACACGTTAGACCTAATCACAAATCAAAGAGCCGGCACCAGAGCGTTCATTGCACATGAATTCGAATTTTGATGACATCAATTTTCTAGGATTGGATTCCATTTGTGTCAGCAATTTTCAGCACCAAACTTAATCAGCAGAGGCAGATAAATGGAACTATATCATCCCGCTACAAGCCTCTGTTTTAATCTTTTATTCTTGATTATAGCTGTAAAGACAATAAGGTGTGGATCCAAACATCAGCTGACCACTAAGAAAGACAATAACTTTCATTGTTGAGCCCATTCCTTCCACTAGTAAATAGTATCTTCATTTACGATAATCCGTACAGGTGTGGAAACCTTGACACAGAACAACCTACAAGTCCTATGAACCAAATATGTTCTAACCTTTGACCTATTCTAGTAATCCTGACTCAGAGTAATTTGCACTTAGTTGGTAGGATCGAATGGGTGATCTCCAGTTCCTATGCTGAAAATCCTTAATGCCCCAATCAATTATGCCAACTATTGGGGTTTAGTAAATACTATCTTCTCTCTATCTACACACTGTATATGTGTGAAAAAAAAAAATTCTTCCCATCTTACAAATTCAAACTATGCATTGTTAATGTAGTAATAAAAGAGATTTATCATGAGAATTCTTTTCTAGCTATGCGAAATGTCTAAATCTTCATGAAAGAAGGGGGCAAAATAAAAATCTTGGCATTATGGTAAGGCTACAATATCAAGACGATTGCACAGTTCCTTAGGAAAAAAAAGATCTTTAATATGCCAGTAGATTTCAGGAAAAGTTCGTAAGCGTCAAAACATTATTGGGGAAAAAAGTTATCGCTCACCTGATTTCTTAGTGACTTATTGGTAATTTACCGAAACTTTTGTGAAATTACCGGCTCTTTTTGATAGTTTATAAAGTATCGAACTTGTTTCGTCTTTTTCTAATTTCTATCGTGTCTTTCTTATGTTGGTAAGAAAATTTATCAACTCTTCTATGAATTACCAATTTTTATTAGAGTGACTTACAAAATTTTTTCCGATTAAATTATCAACTAGTTTGAGGTTACCAACTCTCATTTGAGATACTTATTAGTGTTTAATAGTTTTTTTTAATCCTCTTTTTTATCGTTTTCCAATGACATTTATTTGTTTCTCTTACAAGCTCCTCGAATATATCAACTCTTGTACTAATCTACCAAACTTGGTAAACAAAGTCTCATTTGAGTTATTTACCGACGTTCAAGTGGTTTTTTAAAATTTACTAACTTTTGTTTACCTTATTTACTAATGCGTCAGATTTACCAACAAACTTTGAGCGTTCTATTCTTATCTAAGTTAATTGTCAACGTTTATTTAGGCTTTTAAAATAACTAATTTTTGTTATCTCAAACAAAAAAACTCATCTTATCATTTACAAATTTTTATTTATTATCAATTATATATATGAAATTACCAACACATATTTAAATGGCTTATATTTTTCTCCGCATACGTGTAGTTTGTAGTCGTATTTAAATTTTTATAATCTAGGGTTAAAATCCACTCGAGAAAGCACCATTTCTACATCTTCAATGAACACAGTCCCATTGTTTGTGATCTAACTCTCCATAAAACAAGTTTTGCAAAGATGGATTAAGTGATGTATGTGTAAATAAGGAGTGCCAGCTCTCGAGAGCATAACGTGTGTTGACACCAAAAAATGATTGAGCCTTTTTAATCGATATGATTCCGATACCACGCTCGATGTAAATAACAAGAAAGGTAAATGGCATGAAGAATCAAGTGCAAGGACTAGAAGTCCAAGGAAACTAAAAGAACAGTACAGGAATTAAAGGAAATTGAGATGAAGAGCACGAAATTAAAGGGAAATCAAAGCATAAGTGTCGGTCTCTCATTAGGTTGTTTTGAATCAATATCCACTAAGTTTCATAGAGTTAACGAAACATCCAGCTTCCCGAAGGGATTTGTAGGTGTTGCAAGAAGACCACGTCTTTTCATCGATCCAGTCAATAACGGAGCATCAAACGCCTCGAATTTCACTATCCTCCCCTCAAAAATATGTTACAATCCCAAACCTACGAATTGTATGATTCGTCGGATGGACGGATGAAAGTGGTCCTCTCCTCTTGGAGGATCAGGAAACTTCTTTGTCCAGACAAGAAGTCCGTTTTTATAAGCGAAGGACATGTCACATGATGTCTCTCGAAATAATTAGTGCATAAGTTAACTTTTCCAGTGATGATAGGGAAAGAACAAACTATTCTAGCCATTAACTTTTAAATTAGCTCCAAGATTCTTCACAGTCACAAACAACTCTCCGGTTCGTATTTGCCTGTGTTGCTTAGGTCTATTCAGTCCCCGACCAAAAGAGGTTAGAAAGGGTGCTGACGACCCATCTGGCAATTTTTCCAAACTTGTCCTCACCCTATCGGCATGATGATACCATAGTCATACCACCACCTCCGGACAAATCACCGCTTGACTAGGATGATGTTAAATAATGAACACATTCTTCCTTAGCTTGTTAACTGCGAAAACGTCAATGGAATCCCTTTTCAGATGCGAAATCTTAACTGCGTAGTTACTTCCGAATGATGCTTTTATGTACTTTGTCGACAAGAGGCTTAGGGATCATCGAGGTGGCCGGCCAAGTTGGCTAATATCTTAATCTCACGTGGAATGTTTTCTCTTTGGTCGCGCTAGGTCCTTCCTCGCTCATCGAGGCGCAACCTATGTTCGTACATAATTGAGTATTGCGAAATCACGCAAAAGAAAAAATTTACAGAACCCAATCTCAATAAGAGCACAAGTACCAAAAATAAAATGTATGAGGAGTAATATACACAGTTTTGCTAAACTACATATTTCTACAAGTAGAAGGCTCAAGCCTTTTCATAAAATATGTTCAACTACATAAAACAAACAAAAAAGTATATATGGCAATAACAATTTTCCGTAATTGAGTGGGGGCAGCTGCCCAACTTGTTGCTATTTGATGCCATGTTTGATCTTGACTGAACATTGACACCACTCCTATTATAACGCTAGGGAAAATTGTTGATGCTGGCCGTCCATTCCCCTATTTTTTATTAATAAAAAGAAAAGAAAATGACTTCGGCACGAATTATGCATCATATCTTTTCACTTCTCAATTCGCAGCCAACCGCAACCTATTGTTTTTTTTTATCTTGTATGTCATTTCCTTGTTTTGTTTTGATCCAAACATCCAATCCATGCAATTCCAAGGTATCTTGTCTAAAATACACCCCCTAAACAGACACGCAACTTCTCTTACATTGTTAAAATCCCCAGGTCTAAGAAAAATGGACATGTAGGCCATCATGTTCTTTCTTCACTAGCCAGGATCCCAAGCACTATCAAATGGCTAATAAGGGCATCTTTGGTAACCGGCCAAACAATGCCTGATTCTATTCTTTTGTTCCCGGGAATAAAAGAATAACAGAAAACCGTTTGGTTAAGTTTTTTGTTCCCGAGCACAAATTTTTTCCCTGAATCAGTTTTTGAATAGCATCAAGAATAAAAAAAAAAAGTTGATTCTTGAATCTAGGAATAAGAATAAAAAATAGAAGAGAGCATTTTTTTTTCTTTTTCTTCTTTCCTTCCTGGTTGTGGCCTGTGGTCGGCCACCGACCACAGGCCAGGGCTGGCGAGGGCATCGCAGCCCTCGCTAGATTCGACGAGGGCGGCCTTCACCCAAGCCGTAAGGGTCCAGCCCTCGCCCTCACCTGTGGCCGGCGACCCGGCCATGGGCCAAGGAAGGAGAAGAAGAAAAAAAGAAAAGAAAAAAGAAAGAAAGAAATATTAAAAAATTCAAAATATTATTACTAAAAGAAATTTTGTGCGGTTACCAAACGCATTTTTTTCTTTTTCTATTCCAGGAATAGAAAATTTGCGCCGTTATCAAGCGCCTTTAAATGCTCAGAAATTATTTTTGAGAACAGAATGGTTGCCAGACGCACCCTAACTTGTCATTCCTCTTCTTCTATTCCACCTTCTTCTTCTTCTTTCTTCGTCTAGTCTCGTCCCACCCCAATACGTGCTCCAGCAAGTCTTGCGGTAGCGGCCAGTTGACGATCCGGTTCCCATTCGGCCTGAAACAATTCCAACCCGACAAACGTTGCATGTACCCCAGGTTCGATCTCTCGTGCGATGGCCAAAGAAATACAACTCTAAATCTCCTGCTTTCGGGGGAATTCATCGTGGATTCCATAGATTACGCGAGGCAAGTTATATGGATTCGAGACCCGGTTGATTGCCTCCTCAAACGGCTCTACAATTTTACCACTTCGGCTTCCACTTGGGCGGTCCAACAACATACCGGATTCTCATTCTTCAAATGTCCAATGAAGTCGAGAGCCTGTATAAGTTCACGCACGTGCCTTGCTTGGATGGAAAAGACTGCCACGTCGTGATTGTAGCGACGGCCGACTTGTCCCAAAACAGGAGTCGCTTGTTGGGAAAGCTCAATTGCAGCTATAGCCGGACCTTTTCGATTCCAACCACGGATAGCGCATCTCCGCCGTACGAGACTTTCGATTTTACGTGGTCCGAGGCTCCGAGCCTTCTAATTGTACGGGCTGCGAAATACGTGGAGATACGTGCGGATTCAAGGGGAAGAAGGATTTGGAAACTAGATGCATCGCCCCGCGTCATTATCATGGTATGCACAACTGATACTGATTGTTTTTGCAAAATGTTTGGTGATAATTCCTTTTCTCATTCTGATATAATGTTATAATTCATAATTCATTTAGGAATAAGATGATCTATCTAAATCTTTTACTCGATTAATCTCCATAATTATATAGAAATCATCTGTCAAGATGTATCAAATAAGACTCTATCTAGACTTATCAAATGACATAGCCAAAAAAAAACTTAAAGTCCATTACCCTGAAGTAAGAAAGAGATCTACCGCCGACATAGATTTCTCTAGGATGTATGCAATGGTCTTCTAATCTTCTTAAATGTCAGCTTGTTAAGATGCACCAAAACCAATGCGTCTAGAGCACGCAATTATATATATATTCACGGTAATAAGGTAAAACTAGGCATACTGATTTATGAAGTGTTGCACCTAGCTTTACAAAGTTGATCGTTAGACACGAAATCTATACGTACAATCAATTATACTTCTTTTTTTTTTTTGAATTGTCTCTATAGTTATAAAGACTCTGAGTGGTGATATCACAGATCAATGGATCATCGTGGGAATTTGCATACCATGTTTCGTATTCATCACAAGCTTGATAGCCCATAAACAGCGAGCCCGACGCCTGGCTCAACAAGACCAAACCGATCCATCTTCTCCAATTGGCCAAGCTCAAACCTTTGTCTTTATATCGGGTATGGACACGCCCACGATCCAGTCGTACCCTAAGACTCGTGTTGGCGAGGCTGGAGGATCAATGCCTCAGGACAACAATTGCTCGATATGCTTGTTGGAGTACAAATCGAAGGAGGTGTTGCGGACATTACCGGAATGCAAGCACAGCTTCCATGCCCATTGCATCGATCCATGGCTGAAGAGGAACGCCAGTTGCCCTTTATGTAGGAATGACCAAGGGTATGTAATGTTACCTACATTTCTCTTATCTCGCGGCCATATCTTCTTCTGTATGAAAAGTCTTGGTCTAATTGTTCATTCACCGAAGGAAATGACAACAGAAAATTGTTTGATTCAGTTTCTAGTTGGGTCTAGGTTTTGTCTTCTTGAAGGTTTCTGGAAACAATTTATGGAAGTTTAATGTCATGATGTATGTATGACTGCTTCAACTTGTTCTTTTACGTGATCCTAGCTAACATACACATACGCAATATACATTGCGTGTACGTAAGAAATTGACATTTGAAAAATAAGTAAAATAACTTCATGATGAAATGTTTGAAATTCTGAATCAATAAATAATAAAACAAATTATTAGTCAAAGGGATAAAGATATTCCATGATTTGAATTTTTTGGGAACGTTGTTGTGGGATAGAAAAGATGCATTTTAATAGAGAAACATATAAGAGATAAAATTGAATTATGAACTTACGCATTTACCCATAAATACAGTATTTATAAACGAAATGATTAAGGATACTTGGGGAGGTTCTCTTTACTTTGTATAATAGTATAGATTGGACAACCAATGATAACTTTAGTCTTGGTAGCAATTTTGAATGCATTACACATATGCTTGCAAACCCAACGTAGTTAGAACATTAATTAAAGAAAATCGGCAATTCAGTCTCTCCCTCGGGGTTGTGTAGAAGGGAATGAATGTAATTTGACATCACTGGAAGTTGCTTATTTAGTTTCATAAGTTAAGAGAAAAAGTTATAAGCCATTAAGGTAGTGACATTTGGGTTGTAAACCCACCACATCTATCTTGCAATGCAGAATCTCCACGGCGATAAGTTACCTCGGTGATCAAATAATTTTAAGGAAGTCAGGCACTCACTTGTTGATAAATGGCTGTTAAAGAGGACGTTTTGCGCGGGAAACAAAGAATAAAAAGTTTGAAATCTCGGTCCATTTAAGGTATTAAATTCTATATCTCTAGAAGTAATGATTTTAACTTACCAAGAAAGATGAATAAGACATTCGAATTGAAATTTAAAGTTCGTTAGAGATTTAAGGAATCATGATAGAGTTTAGACTTTTGAGATTGGAACTATATGTGGGGATTTGCTATATTATTTAAAGAAATTGTTTCTCCAAGTTCCTAATTTATTTGTGTTGGTTGCCCAGGTCTGCCAAGTCCATGGTCTTAACTCAAGGAAAAGATACTTCATATGTTAATTATACCATTGGAAATTAACATGTGAAGCAACAAGTCGAAAATAGGCTTAGAAATCGTCGAGGTGGCTGGCTGAGTTGGTTGTATCTTAATCTCATGTGATATGATGTCTCTTTCGCCACAGCAATTCGAATCCTCTAGTCCCTCCTCGATTTTGGGAAATTCTAGTAATTTGGCAGAATCGTTTCGACTTTTGTGCCGAGTATAGGGATATCTTTCACTATACTCCACCTTGTATCCATCGTACGATAATTACGGGCTCACTCAATACTAAAGAAAAATAGTTATGGTTCAAGCAAATTCTAGAGTCAGAACAAATTTTCACTTGGGCAATTGGTTAAAGGCACAACCTATGTTCAATTTTTTTGCTAAATGTGCACAACCTATGTTCATATATAACCGGGTACCACAGAATTACTAAAAAAGAAATTACGGAAACCAACCTCAATATGAGCACAAGTACCAAAAGTAAAATAGAAGTGGAGTAACATTCACATTTTGCTAAATTACATATCTCCACAAATAAAAGTTTCAAAAATATACGGAAAATAATAATAGGAGTTCCGTTTCTTCTCCAGGACACAACATTCATGTTTAACCAAATGATTCCAGCATGGTCGGCCCGTCCTTTACTTCAATAAGATGGCATCTGACACTTAAGTTTCACGCGGCAAGAATTGAAATTGAAAAAGTGTGATCAAGCCTTCCATAAAAAAAATAGGTTCATCTACATAAACCACCAACAAATAAGTATAAATAGCAATGACAATTTTCCATATTTGAGTGGGGGCAGCTGCCCAACTTTTTACTATTTGATTTTGATGCCATCATTGATCTAGACAGAACATCAAGACCGCTAGCACACAATTCCTATTATAATGTTCGGGAGAATCGTCGATGCTTTCGATCCAAACATCCAATCCATGCAATTCCAAGATATCTTGTCTAGAGTGCTGCTCACCCAACTCCTCTTACATTGTTAAACCCTCCATATCAATAATGATGAGGGATGTAAACTAAGAAACGTGGATATATGGCCGCCATGTTCTTTGTTCATCAGCTAGGTTTAGGACTACGGTTCCAGGGACAACCAAATGGCTAATGACTTGTCCATCCTCTTCTTCCTTTTCACCTTCTTCTTCATCCTCCATCTCGTCTTCACCCATCCCAGTACGTGCTCCACCAAGTTTTGCAAACCCGGCGAGCCGGGGATCCGGTACCCGTTCCGTCTGAAGCAACTCCAACCAGATGAACGCTGCGTGTTCCCCGGGTTTGATCTCTCGTGCAATGGTCAAAACCGAACGACACTAACTCTCCCGCTTTTGGGGGAATTCATCGTGGATTCTATAGATTATGTGCTACGAGTTATACAGATTCAAGACCCAGATGATTGCCTCCCCAAACGGCTCCACAATTTCACTACTGCGAGTTCCATTTGGACGGTGCAACAATATTCCAATTTCACATTCTTCAATTGTCCAAAGGAGTCGAGGGCCATGGATATGTTCATGCGCGAGCCTTGTCTGGACGGCCATAACTACAACGTTGTGGTCATTGCAACGGACGAGCCCGGAGTAGATTTAATTAACCTGATGGAGGAGCTCCGGTGCAATTATAGCCAAACCATTTCGATTCCGACCATAGATACCTCTTTTACGCCGTCCGGGGTGACGTATACGTCCTCTATTCGTTTGATGTGGAAGGAGCCTTTCGATTGTATTATCTGCGAAGCAATTACAGATACGTTGGGATCCAAGGGGAAGGCGGGTTTCGAGATTGGATGCCCTATCTCGCCTTCTGATCATGGTATGCACAATTGTTATCGATTGTTTTACAAGATGTTTGGTGGTAATTTCTTTTCTTCTTCCAATATAATGTGGTTAAAAATATCATAATAACTACATATTCTCTTAGGGAAAAGATGATCTATATGAACTTTTTACTCGATTAATTCTCATAGATGTAGACGATTCTCCTGTGAATGCAGCACCTAATTAGATGTATACATTCATATCCATTCCCGGTAATAAGGTATAATTAAGCATCCTGATTGATTAAGTGTTGCATCTAGCTTTTTCAACTTGATCATTGGACACTAGATTTGTAACATTTGGAAATTTCGTAATAATAAGTATGCGACGTTGGAAATTTTCTATATTTGAAAATGATACTTAGATAATAAAGCTAAGTATTATTTAAGTTAGTATTCGTGCAGACGCATAGAAATTGTTGTTGGACCGTAAATTGTGAGGCGCAGATTCGGGAACGTAATTGTTCCGAGCTCGACGTGTTTAAAATTTTAAACGTTGTTGTGTACGTTAATAGTAGTGCGGTATTAATTAAATTACCGTTGGCTTGGTAATTAGTGGGTAATATTATTGGTTAATTTTTGGTTAAGTAGTGTTAACCATTTTATTAATTTCTTATTGGTGTTGAAAAAAGGGGGGGGGGGGGAGGTGGGGGGAGATATTCTCACAAAATATCTCTTCAGGACATTCTTCTCACGTGGCTTATGAAGGAGTAAGCTTGGCCACATGCCACTTGTCCTCTTAAGCTAAGCTTATTGTTCTAGTTTGACACCTAACCTTACGCAATCATTTTCCTTGGCCATTACTCATTGATTAAGCCCTTGATTTCTTACACCTGGCCGTGATGGAAAGAGGAAGTGCCACCTGTGAGTGCAATGTATTTGTCCACCTCAACATCTACTCCTCTAGCTCATTTTCATCTTAGTAAACACCGAAGGGAATTTTCACCCAAAACCGTAATTCCCTTCTTCACTTTCTACTTTCACCATCACCCGATCCAAAATCTACGGGAGAGCTTTAACTTTTGGGTGTTCAGATTTTTGCACAAGGTAAGTGAAGACTCTAGAGTTAAGCTGGCTAAATCTACTTGACACTTTTTAACTTAGTTGCTTGAGAAATGCTATTTTGATGTGTGATAATAGTGAAGATATGGTGATTGTTGGATCTATTTTGCTGGTTTCATACATGTTTAAATGGGTGCAATTTGTTTCCTTAAAGTGTAGTGAAAATCGGCAAGTAAAATGGTTAAATCTAACGTGTAAATGTCATCTTTGAGGTAATTGTGGAAATTGTCTTGCTGGTTTTATTTATGTTTAAAAAGGGTGGAAAATCGTTTTACTCAAAGTGGAGTATAGTAGGTGAGTGTAAATGATGATTTTGTTTACTTCTGAAATGAACAGATTTTAAACTCAAATTCTGATTCTGTTTACTTCTGAGCTGAGTTGATTTTAGCCTCAAATTCTGATTCTGTCTACTTTTAAAACTGCTCAGACTTTATGGTCAGAATCTGAACATGTATACTTTTAAAACTGCTCAGACTTTACGGTTAGAATCTGGATATGTGTACTTTTTGAACTTGAGTAGACTTTAGCTTTTTAAGTCTGAAACCGTATTGCTTCATACTTATTTGCTTGAATGATGCATTTCATTGCTTTAAAGAACATGTGCTGTACAGAAGGTGAGTATACGCATGCAAATACTTGGTTGTCATGGCTTACACGAGAATAATATAAATTCCGTCACCATAAAAAAAAAATCAACGGTGACGATGCCCCGTTGGTCGTGATACCCCAGGAGTGTTCGGGATGCCTCGGGAGTCGAGATGCCCTGTTGGTCGAGATGCCCCGGAGGGCATACCGAGAAGCTTCGGAGTTGGTATGCCTCGTTGGTCGGGATGCCCCGAAGAAGTAATGAACCTAACGCATGAGCATGAATGTTTTACATCATATATTTGCGTCTGAGTAAAATTATTATGAAATGTAGACTTGCTCAGATTTTGTGGCATATCCAGATGGAAAAGGTATAACATTTATTCAAGTTCTATGCATACTGTTTGTTAAGCATGTATGTTGTTTGTGCCAGATGAAGTGAAAAGCTGATTTTCCTAACTTAAGACTAGAGATTTCATTTACTGCGCCTCCTCTCATTCCTTTATTTTTCAAACATGTAGGATGTATGTTCCATAGCCTCTGCATTTTGGAGTTCCCGTATATCATGAAACTGTCTATGAAAATGTGTTTGTGCCTGAGTCTGAAGCAGTATATACTAAATGTAGCTCTACTGTCTGGGTTGACGTGGGTTTGGCAGAATGGATTCCTTATTTTTTTGTTGCATGGCACTTTAACTTTGAGGGCGAGTTAGTTGGCCCGTTGAGGGACTTCGACTTACATGATGGTGGTTTCACAACGGAGGGTGAAGTCATTGATCCATAATGTCACCAGACTGTTGTTCAGACGGACTTTTGGAGTATAGTCTAGTATGAAAATAGGCAATCTCGACTTACCCAGACTTTTGTTTTTGTATGTATATGATGTTTTGTCTGGGCTTGTAAATCTGACAAGTGTTGTTAATAAAAAGCAAAAGTGTTTTGACTAAACTTGTGTGATATTCATGTTTAAAAATTGTTCAGACTTTGACTTCCGCTGGCCAAATTATTAATAAAGATTAGTAATAATAAAAGACTTGTGTCGCGCGTGACGTTCTGGGGCGTCACAAGATCTATACGTACAGTCAATTATACAGTTATTTAGCTCTTTTTTTATTTGACTTGTCTCTTTAGGTGGAGAGAGTCCGAAGGGTGATACCAGTGATCATTGTTGGATCATCCTTGGCATTAGCGTACCATGTTTCGTGTGTATCGTGAGCTTGATAGCCCGCAAATTGCGAGTCCGATGCCTTGCTCAACAAGACCAAACCAATCCGTCTTCTCCACCTGGAGGAGCTCAAGCCCTTGTCATTATATCGGGTATGGACACGCCTATGATCGAGTCTTACCCTAAGACTCGTGTTGGTGATGCTGGAGGATTGATGCCTCGGGACAACAATTGCTCGATATGCTTGTTGGAGTACAAAACGGAGGAGGTGTTGCGGACATTACCGGAGTGCAAGCACAGCTTCCATGCCCATTGCATTGATCCATGGCTGAAGAAGAATGCCTGTTGCCCTTTGTGCAGGAATGACCAAGGGTATGTAATGTTCCCCACGTTTTCATTATCCTGTGGTGATATCTTTTTCTATAGCAAAAAACATCCTCACCTTTTGTTCCCTTTCCAATTTTATCCCCATCATTTTAGGTTATCAAGATAAATGATCACCGTAAAAAATAATATAAAATCTATCCCAGAACAAGTCTCCTTCAAAGAATAATAGTTTGATTACCTTTTGCCGTCTTTAGCATTAAGTACTTAGAGCATTGCAATTAAGACAATATTTAATAGAACCATCTAACTTTTTAAATTCTTCTTCATACTGAAAAATTTAAATTATTATCAATAAACACAAAAGGTTGATATGAAGCCAAATTAATATTATCTCTTGAATTATACATTCATTAAATTATCTTCTCTTAAATATCTTCCCTTGAATAAAAGAATTAGATAAATCTTCCTTCTTTTAGGAGCAAAATCGAAATTCTGAAAGAATCTAAGGGAGTACCACCTCTCATAAATGGTGTTGAAAGACTTACGATAGATTTGAAACAAATTCAAAAAGTTGGGTATTTTTCTGATATATTTTATAGGATTAATACCACGAAAAATCCCAGTCTGGTACATATGTGACAAATTTATCCAAGACTATTATTTTAACCACAAAAAATCCAAAACTAGTACATTTGTGACAATTTTACCCCGAATTAATTTTTTGACCACCAAAAATCCCAAACTAGTACACTTGTGATAATTTTACCCCGAACTAATTTTTTGACTACAAAAAATCCCAAACTGATCACATGTGATAAATTTACTCTTTGTTAAATTTTACTGTCAAATTGCTAAGTTTGATGACACGTGGTAGTTGATGGGTATAGCAGTTTGGGGTTTTGCCCCTCTATTTATCACAAGTTTACCAATTTGTGATTTTTTGTGATATTAATCCAATTTAACAGACACTAATGGATGGTAAATTTGTCATAAATGTACCGGTTTGGGGTTTTTAGTGATCAAAAAATTAGTTCGGGGCAAAATTGTCACAAGTATATCAGTATGGGGTTTTTGGTGGTCAAAAAAATAGTTCGGGATAAATTTGCCATAGTTGTACCGGTTTGGGATTTTTGGTGGTCAAAAAATTAGTTTAGGGTAAAATTTTCACAGGTGAACTAGTTTGGGATTTTTTGTGGTATTAACCCTATTTTATAAGGCTGGGATAATATTCAAGATCGTTAAAAATATTATAATTTATATTGTTATTTGGACACAAAAAGGAATTACTTCCACGAATTTTGCAGGTGGTAATAATGTAGTTTTCTGGCCAGAAAATATACTCTTTGGAGCTTAAATAGAAAGTAGGATGGGGATTATTAGAGTAAATAGGAGTCAATTTGCTATTATAAGCATTCTTTTGGAGAAGAAAATCCCGAACTTAAATGTTTTGGTCTCATTGTTCATTCACTGAACAAGATGATAACATGAAATTGTTTGATTAAATTTAATTCTAGTTGGGTCGAGGTTTAATTTTCTTGATGATTTCTGGATACTATTTATGATGTCTGAATGTTTTGTCATGATGTATAGATGACTGCTTCCAAATGTTCATTTACATGCTACTAGTAAACATGTAAGAAATTAACATTTATAAAAGAAGCAAAAAATCATTTATTGTGAAATATTTGAAAATTTAGAATCATCAAACAATAGAATGAAATTACTGGTAAAATTGCATAAGTCAAAGAAAATATATATGTGGAAAAGTAAAGACATTTCAAGAATTGAATTTTTTTGGAATGTTGTTGTAGAATAGAAAAGATGCAATATTAATTGTGGAGCATGTAAGAGATAAAGTAGAATTATTAACTTCCGCATTTGGCCATGTACAATGTTTGTAAGCTAAATAATGAAGGATATTTAGGAAAGAACGAAAAAAAAATTAAAATCCCTTAAAAGTTGGAGGTTCTCATCAATTTTTATATAATTATATAGATATGTATTATTTTGGACCCACGGTGACAATTTTAGTCTTGGTAGCAACTTTAAA